CCTGCCAAGTTGGTCGCAGGTGTCTGACCCAGCTCCAGGCTAAGGGAAAGAACATGGGAAACTACTACAATGAGGTTATTCAGGGTTTAGGGGTTTAGGGGTTTAGGGTTTATGGGGTTTAGGGGTTTAAGGGTTTAGGGTTTTAGGGTTTAGGGTTTTAGGGTTTAGGGTTTAGGGGTTTAGGGTATAGGGTATAGGGATATTGGGGTTCTATAGGGATGATGGAAAAGAAAATGGAAACTACTATACTATATTGGGATAACATAGGGATAATGGGTATTTGTCTCAGTCACGTGCAGGTTGCCAGTGCCCTGAAGTCCAGGTGCAGCAGCCACCGAAGGTGCAATCCTGAGTGCTGCTATCGCATCAGTTTCATTCTACCCTCAGAGAAGTGGCCAATCTAACTGAGATCCCATGCTGCCTGAGTTTGCCCCAACCTGCCAAATTTGCATTGCAGAGTGGCCCGGGTGCCTCATACAGGCTTGTTGTACCTTTTGTGCATCGTCACGCTGTTGCCGCAACCAAGTTAGGCTGTACTGCATCAGCTTGAGGTCGGACAGTAGACCCTCTCGAACGCGTTCTCTACCACACTTCTGTGGGCGAGCCGTCGTCTGTCTACGACACGGTCGGGGCGTTGGTCATGGACCGCAACTTCTTGTAGAAGTCTTGCAGACAAGGTCGCGGGCTTGCCTGTGCAACCTACAGTACTACTCAAACATGCGCTGGCGTGGGCGGAAACATCAACTCGAATTGCGCTGAGACAATAATCCAATATCCCCATTTTATCCCAATATACTATAGTTGTTTCCATTCTCTTTTCTATTATCCCTATGCGACCCCAATATCCCTAAACCCTAAACCCCTAAACCCTAAACGCCTAAACCCCTAGACCTTAAACCCTATATAACACAGATAGATAGTAGTTCCCATTATTTTCCATTATCCCCATACAACCCCAATTATCCCTAAACCCTAAACCCTAAACCCTCTTGATCTCTCCCACTGGCTGCTTTAAGTGCTGGTGGAATGTCGAAGTGATTGCAACTGCCCTTTTCCCTGTGATGGTAGTGCTGATTTCCGCATGATTTGCAAGCTGCCCTTTTCCTGGAATGGTGCTGCTTCCCACTTTTGACTGCCTTATTTTCCCTTGTGGGTTCCTGAGCTGGTAAGGGCTTCGGGCTTGAATGATGGAAGGTCGGCGGGTGTACCTGAGGCTCCCTGGACCGTGCTAATCAAGCATCTCTGGACGCGATCAACCTTTGGAGAAAAGGTCCCACAAAAAAAAACCCCTAAACCCCAATTAGACTATAGCAATCCTCGACTGCCAGGTGAAGAGCTTGCGTGCAGCCCGCGGCCAGCGTCTCGGAGTGGGAGCCTTAGAGGATGGTAACTACAGGAATTATTGGGGTTATATAGGG